TTACAAGTCTATTATCTAGCAATGAGACAATGTATGGGTTTTATCCAATTAAAAATGGATATTCTGGTTTATTTAAGTGATCTCAATTCATCAGTAACACTTATTTATATCTCTTAGAGGAATCGTAATCTAGAATCACATTCTTAAGTGCTATATTATTTCCAATATACTTTGGATAAATTGATTTTTGGCATCAACATTCGATTATTCTTATGAGGATCCATTTTTATGGAAAATCATACGATGATTCGTCTACTTAAGAAGATCAATGACGTGACAAAGTTTATTGCTTTACACTTGTGAACTATTCGTAGATGAGCACGTTTTAAATTCAACTCGTTAAACAAACGAACAAATAAATACAAATATTTTAGGCCCGTTTAAGCAATAATAATAATGTACTATTTTTTCATCTTTAAAAGAAAATTTTATAATTGTTATTATTTTTTTTATTCCAAATGTGATCATATTTATTATGAAGAAGTCCCAAGTAGGGGCAAACACAAGCTAATTAGTAGAGTTTTGCCAAGTGAGATGAGGCAAGAAAACAAGATTAATGTACGTCCTTTTATCTTTACGTAGGACCTTTACCCTTTTTCCCTCAAAATTGGCTTTCTGTGTGGTTCAACCACCATGATTATACATACATGAATGTGCCCTTTTAGACGCCCTTTCAGATATCGTTGGCCTACTCTTTATGTTTCTACATGCCCTTAAATTTTTAGTGATTCCTTCTTCTAATTGCACTATTATTCCTCAAAATAAGAATTCATGTTTATTACATATAGAGATTGATATTACCGACCACAATACAATTAGTAGGTAATTAATAACTTACCGACCACAATAAGTAGAACAATTCTTGAAATGCCTCTATTAGGTTATTGATTTAGAGGACCAACTCAACTGATTGAAAACTAAGAAAGTATAAGTATTTGTACTTTAGAATTTGGATGAGCTACCACCTAAGTTACAACTTGAAATCATAGTCGTTCAATTTTTAAATGCTCCTTTCTATAAACTCAAAAATATATAGTTACATAATTTTAATAGACTTTTTTTGACATTATAATTATATGACATGTGAAAACTCTTATAATTTAACAATTATAAATATTTATATAAAAAAAAAAAACCATTTTATCCTATTTCTATGGCTCGTTTAATTCTTTTTTTTGTTTTTTTTTTTTAAATCTAAAATTTACATCTATAGTGCATTTTTTTAAATATTAATATTTCCATCAATATATTGGCAATTAGGCATGACTAACCTTTTCCTCTATCCCTTAAAGTGATCCATTGGAATTTATATCATTAATCCAATTTTTCAAATATAAGTACTAGTTTATTATTAATTAGCATGTAAATATATTTTCAAAGAAAGCTAGGGAATTATTATAGTACGAAGTATTTAGAAAAATAAATAAATTCATTGATTTTGAGAAGGAGATAGGGGAATGAAGATGTGGAATGCAAGTAGGGGCATCAAACGCATCAAATGCCATCCGACTCATAACATCATATATCTGGCTTCTCAGTGGTTCCTTAGACTTTGCTGTCAAATGCTTGGAATATCCCTAATTACTTAACCCTTTTCACAAATTTGATGTATTATAAGCCTCATTAATATGTTGATTAAGAAACTATTTAGATGAGTGTCAAGTTTAAGTGCCTCAAAATGTAGATTATATATTTATCAGTTGCTATCATGGGGATTCTTCTGCCTTTAGTTTTCTAAAAGTTTATTTTTGAAACCCATTCCTAATTAAGGGTATATAGATAATTAAATTATACATTTACTTTGTTAGATTTAATATTGTACTAATTTTAGAGCATATGACAAATTTTCATGTTGTTTGAATTTATTATTTTTTTATAAAGATTAAAGAAAAAATAATAGGAGACCCTCCTCATGAGAGGAACTTCTAATGCGTCCGACACAAGAATAAGATAGAAACTAGAATTATTATAAGGTATAATGTCCATACTATCACTAATTAAATAACATTAGTTATCCAGTCAGCAACTCAATTTGCTTCACAATATACATATCGAATGCTCCAAATGTCGAAATTGTTGAGAAGAAGACGCATATCTATATATAATGATAGGAACAATTTGCCACGGGACCATAAAACTGAGTCAATAACCATAAGATTGTCACCTTCAATATGGATGCTTTTTATACCGTGTTCAATCGCAAGTTTTTCTTCTTCTTCTTTTCCTTGGACCTACAATTTTATTATGTTATTTAAGCTCTCATTGATCAGCATGCAGTTTGATAATTACGGAGTAATTGTTAATCTATAAGCTTAAGGATTTGAGAACGAGCTATGAATTTCATAATCACCTGAGGCCTAAATTTAGGCAACCGTATCCCTCCCCCATTTCATGAACCAAACATCATTTTCATTTGCCTAAATAACCCTACATGCATGTTTTCACATCTTATAACAACTTGAATTTTTGTAACTTGTTATCTGCTCTAGCTCAAGTTATAGTATTTAATCAAATGGAGTACTATTCTTTCAAGTTTCAAGTCCAAGTAAAGTCAATTTCCAATTAGCTTTAAATAATTCATTTCCTAGTTAGTTTTAAATTAAGAATTTTGGGATTTTTGAATAATGATCCTTGTTCGTTAAAACCTAATTGGACACCATCATTAGTCTCATAAAAATTCTCTATATAGAACGACATTGACAACAACAACATCATCAAAGACCGATTGCATTCCCAAAAGAATGATATTTCCTACATGAACCAAAAATATATCATGTGATCATACATGAATGAAGATCACTTTCCTCCATTCACCTCTATCTAGTCCTACGCACTCTTGCAAACTCATTTTCTTCATGCACTTTGTAACTTCATTCATTCAATTAAGTCATGTTTGATTATAACAATTGATCCTAGTGTTAAAAAGGGAATTACCCAATCTATACTTGAATAAAATTTTCAACAAGCATGTATACCTAATATAAAGGCTACAATTACGATCCAATAATTACTTTTAGTTGGAAATCTGTTAGTGTTATATTTGGATCTCCTTACTCTAAGTGAAGTTAGAGATATTCTGGTAATTAATTGATTATATCCAACTATGACCTTAAAATAGTAAAGAAAAGAGGGTGGGGTTAGGGAAAACAAGGAGCAAAGTGCCAAAAAACTGAAGTTATTGATAATTTGACTAAAATTTCCAAATTAAGACATATAATTAAACTTTAAGCAAAGTTTAATGCATATATGGACCATAAGTAGAAGTGCTAATGTCTGCGCAGGTGGAAAAAAAAGAGGCCATCAACCTTATGTCAACCTACTTGCATCACCCATTCACTATGGTTGCACACTAAAACAAAATTACGGAGTATTGTGCAACCATCTCACAACCCCGGGAAACTACCAATTTTTTGTGGTTGATAATAGTTGTTTATTTAATTTATAATACTTACATTTGATACATTAACATATAGTTTGAGTACTAAAATGGATATATCCATTTAGCCTATAGTGACGTGCTGGCTTGCATTAGCCCAATGAGTTGCGGCGTCATAATGCCTAAAGAAGTCAAATACGTAGTACACTATTAGGGCTCAAGATTATCTATATGCATGGTCACTATATATACTCCTTAAGGGTTAAGGTAAAGGGTGACTTTTTGCACTCAAAGAGGACCAACTTCCTTTCTCTATCCCTTTATTACTCTCAAATTATACATTGTTTGGGCATTAATTAACTTGGACATCGGAGGCTCTGCTCCAGGGAAAACCCTGGGGACTTGGGGTTCATCTTGTAGTTCTGTCCACGATCTAGAGCCAAAACCGTCGAATGCTCACACCATAATCAAGAACCCCCCATTTTATTACGGAATAACATATTATATGGTGTTTATATCAAAATTTTAATACTGTATAAGTCATATAAAATAAATACAAGTAATTATAAAGGTTCCTAATGGATTATTAATTGGGTCCATTGTATTTATCAATATAGAAGTCTTACTAGTTACTACCTCGGTTTCTTATTATGTGCAATAACGAGGTATTATTTATGAAACATAAAATATTTCTTTGTTACACATAATAAGAAACGGGGTTAGTACTTTCTTGAAAATCTAGTGGAGCTGATATTAGGCTAGTCTAATTGGAAGAGCAATGAGGTTTCAAAATATGCGCCCAAACGCCACCACTAGGAATTTGCATGCTTATCAAATTGCTCATAGTCTCGTACATTTAACATTCTACGTAGCCTCTGTCTTCTTTGTTCTTGATTCATAGTAAGTCTTATAAGTACGTAATAAAAAAGCGTAGCAGTTAATTGAATGGAATGACAAGCCTAAGATCTCTATTATAAATGGTTATCATATAAGTTTTTTTGAAATTCAAAAGCATACATTGCGTGTATATAGATGTAACGTTCATAACGTAACTAAATCTCTATGTGGTGCTCACTAGTACATTCATATAATGGGGTTATTTTGGAAATTTACTTGGAAAACAAACAAAGTCACACTGCTCTCATGTTTGCATTATTGCAGCAGTCAAGGGTTCAAGCCCTCATTGGTAACATATTAAACTTATTATGCTACTAGCACCATATGCATGATTAGGGGTTGTGCCTAATGTGGAACTTGCTAGTGTGAATTGCAACGGAAACAAAACTTGTTTAGGGCTCTATAACATGTGCTCTGCTGCTCTCATCTGTGCTTCATTACTATACTACTTACCTATAAATACTTCCTTTATTCCTTTGATAGAGCATTTAAATTAGATATCTTTAATTATATCACGAAAAAAGAATTTAATAACAAAAATTATACTGTGAAAGTATATCTAAATATGGGTCGAACAAGACATCATATAACTGTATCTTATCTCTTTTTACATAATCTATATGTGGTTAAAAAGTATATAGTGCAAACATTACAACCTTAAAGCAAGCAACGAAGAAAGTATATGTTATCACATATAATTAGTAATCCATGTACAAATCATTCTTTTTATAAATATTGCTTTGTACATGCAAATTTTCTAATTAAAAAGAAAGGAAAAAAATATAACTTTTTTTCTTAAAAAAATTAATCAACATGAAAGGGGGAAACTTTATAATCAGGTAACATATTTTAGAATTAGGTAGGGTCCCAATATTATGTCCATCAATTTCACCTTTTATGCTCTGCCAAATCTCCATATAAGAGCATATAGCAGGGAAGAGGTCACCATATCAGTTATAAGGGCATTTTTCCGGCGAACCTTTGCCACACCCCTCTATTCTCTCTTTCTCTCTCCTCCCTCCCTAAACTACTAGCATTCTAGTGGAACAAAGAACATAGAATATCTTAGAATGTGCCTCTAGAGAATCACTTCCTTTGGCGTCGATAAATACTCGGATTGTGTTCTTCATTCAAACCCACTCCCTCTTACACATTCTCTCACGAAAACGAGTTCAGACGAAAAGATGGTGAAGTTCTCTAAGCAGTTTGAGGCACAGCTTGTGCCGGAATGGAAAGATGCTTTCGTCGATTATGAGCAACTAAAGAAGGAGCTTAAGAAGATTCAGTTCTTAAACACTGATAAAAACTCTTCTAAACAACAAAATAAGGCTTCTTTTCCCTCTTCCTTGTTTTCTTCCCTAGGGAAGTTCTCCTCATTTGGCCAGAAACATAGAGATCATGCCACAATTCATGTACTTCCCCTGTTTTTCCTCTGTTTTCGAGTGTGTTACGTTTGTTATGTTGTGATTACAAAGAGTAATGACGTGAAATTTTGATGAGGTGCAGGTTCATAGGAAGCTAGCATCTTCGGCGAGCAGAGGGGATATGTATGAGACTGAATTGCTGGAGCAATTCGCCGATGTTGAGGCTGCTGCTGAATTTTTCACTTGTTTGGATCGCCAACTCAACAAAGTGAACCAGTTTTATAGGGTTAAGGAGAAAGACTTTGTTGAGAAAGGAAATTCAGCTAAGAAGCAGCTTGATTTCTTGATTCAGGCGAGGAGCGAACTCAAGAGGAAGAAGGAAGCTTCTTCTCAGGATTCCAATGATGATCCCTCCATTTCAAGCCAACTCTCCTCTGGTAAGCACCGATCCCCTACTTTCAACTGATTGAAAGAAGAGATATAAATCATGTACCACAGATACTTTGTAGATCAAAAGGACAAACGCGAAAAAAGGCATTAGACAATATAATGTTTCTACGGCCTCTAATTAATAGGTCACATTTAATTATGGGTAGTCAGTTCAATATTGTATTCTATTAAAATATCATAAATCATGGTAAGTTTTACATTTTCGATATGCCACGAGTTAGTCTTTACATTTTAAAATAAACTATTATTAGTTTGGACGGTATTAATTTCTACACTACAGTTATTAGAAACATTTAACTTGTACACTAACCCAACTCATAATTTAAGGATTTTCAAGTGATAATCTACACAGAATAAAGTTTTTCTGTCCTTTTTAAAATGCATAATAATGAGTCTTCTAAGGAATCAACTTAACCATGAACTCACCTCAATTGTAAAGTTATGACTAATGATTTACATTTATTTATTTTAATACAGCAGAGATAGAGTTAATTGAGAAAGCAGAGGAAACAGAGCAAGAACAGGGCCAAGACAGCTCCACTGATGAAAATGAGAAAAATGACAATGAATCCCCAAAATCCGATGAGACGGAAAAATCATTGCGACGAATCAAAAGAGATGACAGTGGTTCAAGGAGCTTCTCTAGTAGGGTTTTTAATTGCAAGGGGAAGAACTTAACCATTAACATTCCACTAACGACGCCATCTCGAACCTTCTCAGCTATAGGTTCCTTAGTTTGGGAAGACGTTATAAATCACAATTCTACAAAGAAAGCCAATCCAAGAGGAATTCACATCAACAAAAGTAACCTACATCATGCAGAAAAGATGATTCGAGGCGCGTTTCTTGAGTTATATAAGGGTTTGAATTACCTTAAAACTTACAGGTAAAATTAACTCATCACATGGAAAATCACCTAATTATCTCACATAATATTCATGATTTGTTACACATGCAACATGCATACGTGAAGAAGATGAACTAATACTCCCAGATAATTGTGTTTTGCAGGAACTTAAACATGCTTGCATTTGTCAAAATCTTAAAAAAGTTTGACAAAGTAAGTGATTTTCCTTTATAAAGATCTTTATTTTTATCAAAGCAAATTGCTTGCTTGTACGTATGAATAAACTAGGATGTTCTGTTATTTCAGGTAACTAACAAAGAAGTACTGCCAATTTACCTCAAAGTGGTAGAAAACTCCTATTTCAACACCTCTGACTTGGTAAAAGTCTAATTCTTTCGCAAATATATTTGTTGTGTGTTTTACTATAGTATATATCTTACGTGGTATAATCAATCAACTTTCAATCTAATAAAAAATTATAAAATTAAATATTTTTTTCCAAAAGCCATTTTTTACGAGATCGTGAATCACAAATGTGACGCAGCAATTTTAAAAACCAAAAAATCCTGATAGACTAGTAGACTTTGCATTTTACTAGGCTTCGCATTGTTTTGTCCCCGCATAAATTTGACTGATTGATGAAACATTTTTATCTTCTGAGGCAGCAAATAAATCTCAAATCTTTCAAGAGACATTTTCAAGTGGACATCTAGCATAATAGTGAAACACCACACACAAGAATTTAGCCTTGGATTTTTATACGCAGCGAAAAAGATACGTTGCTATGACATTAGATAGAAATGACTTTATAAATCAACATATAGATTTTTCACTTATCGTACCATGCACTCTTCTGACTCCACGTGACAATGTTACCTTCTCATAAAGAACTTTTTTACGACATGAGAAACAAAATCTCATGTTCTTTTAAAACCTCCATATTAATTCTACTAACACAACATTGTCTATGTTAAATGTTAATGCAACATAAAATATTTTGAGGTGAAACAATTATCATTAACTATAATCATGATATAATTTTCTTTTTTTTTTACTTGTTGAAACAGGTTATGCGATTATCTGATGAAGTTGAAGAGCTATTTGTTAAGCATTTTGCCAATGATGATAAGAGAAAAGCCATGAAATACCTCAAGCCAAATCATCGCAAAGAATCCCATGCAGTAACCTTTTTCATAGGTGAATTTTCCTTAACTTCTGTTTCTACATGTTTCTTTCTGTTTTCAAGCAAAGTTCTCATCAATAATTTACTAAAGCATGAAAGATAACATATTAAACTCATAAATGACTTAAAAAATCTATCTTCTTTTTTACCACCTTTATATTGAAAACTACTTGTTAGTTAAGTATTTCTTAACTACTCCCTCGATTCCTTAATATTACTAAACGGATTTGTACATATGTTTTAAGAAAGGCAAAACTACCATAATGAATTATACTAAGTGAATGCATGTAATAAATAAAAGTGAACAGAGGAAGTATAATACTAGAGATTAACGTAAAGAAAATAGACAATGTGGGCCCGTTAGACCACTAAAGCATGATCAGAAGGGCCGTACTTGGGCCACTTTTTATGGGTGGAATTAAAGGAAAAGGTAAGCATAGGGTAGGCCACTATAACTTAGGGACAAAAACATGATCTTGCTTGGTCTAAGCCCTGATTAAAAAAGGCCCAATAACAACCAATACACCACAAAAAAATATAGGTTCAACTTTGATTGATTTGTGTAATATGCCAACCTAGTGTTTTTATTTGATGTTAAAACATGCTCATAACGGTTGTCTATTGGATGCATGTTGGACTTCCACTATACTTTGTGAATTCCATGAAGAAATTGAAAATCTTTTTGATTGGACTTATGATTTGCCAAATTTAGCACTGTAGATTTGTACTCAAAGATTTTTAAAGTTGTCATTATGTTGGATTATAATAAGACTACATAGTTAAGCATGCTTACAAGTTACTCGAGTTTGATTCAATCAAATCTCAAGATCGAATTCCACTCGACTTTATGATTGAGGCTAAACATGTACTTCGTACTTTATATTAGTTTAGTGTTTTTTATTCTACTCCGTATTATGTTTTATATAATAACTTTCATTTTTTACATAAATTATTAAAAGTCATGTAGATTTTATATATCTCTCATAAAATCTTCCCACTTCCTCCCCAAAATAGAGAAGAAAAAAAAAAAAAAAAAAAAAACTAATTAAATGCAAACATATTACTTCCTTAAAATAAAAATTGAAACTTTGAAGAATGACGTGACCCAATTAGAAGTTTTAACTTTAGATTTAATAAGATTTAAAGATAATGCATTAACAGCACTTATTTATATTGTGCAAATCCAGGTCTGTTTACAGGATGCTTTATTGCACTTCTAGCTGGTTATGTCATCATGGCTCATCTAATGGGAATGTACTCTAAACAATCACCTGACACAGTTTACATGGAAACTGTATATCCTGTTCTAAGGCAAGACTCTCTCCATCCTTTCAACTCTAGTAATTTTTCGAGCAAAATTTACTAACTGTTATAATTTATTTACTGTATTTCAGTATGTTCAGCTTATTGTTCCTGCACATCTTCTTGTACGGGTGCAATATCTTCACCTGGAAAAAGGCGCGAATAAATTACAGCTTCATCTTGGAGCTAGCTCCGACTAAGGAACTCAAATTTAGAGAAGCGTTCTTAATCAGTACTGCTTCAATGACTGCTATTCTAGGGGTCTTGTTCATTCACCTGTCACTTGCATCCAAAGGATACTCCTCTACCCTAGCTCAGGCCATCCCAGGCTTTCTTTTATTGGTAATTTTCAAAATCTAGCGGCTCGTTTATAAATGGTGATAATGATAATGATTTATACTTAAAACAATGGACATTGACATGAATCATTTTTCTTACAAAATCACACTTAAATCATTACAAGTATCACCATTTTGCTGTTTTAAGGTAATTTATATTAACATTTTTTTGTGGTTTCTTTTTTATTTGGCAGTTTTTCATGCTGTTGTTGTTCTGCCCTTTCAACATTGTGTATCGATCAACTCGGTACAGATTCCTTCAAGCTATAAGGAATATAGTTTTTTCACCTCTATATAAGGTACTTAAATCTCTCAATTAAACTAACTTAATACTAATACAAAAATAAGGCAGTTTTTGGTTATCTAATGTGGTCTGTGGGTGATTCATTTGTAGGTTGTTATGCTAGACTTCTTCATGGCTGACCAACTCTGTAGCCAGGTAATTTATCATCAAAATTACCAATCAACTTCAAAAAGAAGTTGATTTAATGTCATTGATCAACTATAATATGTTTATTTTATCAAAAGACTAACAATAGAAGTAATAACTTCAACAGGTTCCTCTGCTCAGAAACCTCGAGTATGTAGCTTGCTACTACATCACAGGGAGTTACAAGACTCAGGATTACGGATACTGTGTGAGGACTACACATTACAGAGATCTCGCATATGCCGTTTCCTTTCTACCATACTACTGGAGAGCAATGCAGGTAAAACAAGATTATAAAAACACTTCCTTGTACCAAAAGAAGAAATTTTACCTTAATGAAATTAAGGCTAATGATTAGTACATGAAATTTTTCAGTGTGCAAGAAGGTGGTTCGACGAAGGGCAGGCTACACACCTAGTGAATCTGGGTAAATATGTGTCAGCTATGCTGGCAGCGGGAGCTAAGCTGGCATACGAAAAAGAGAAGTCGACAGGATACTTATGCCTAGTTGTAGCCTTGTCAAGTGGTGCCACTATGTACCAATTGTACTGGGACTATGTAAAGGATTGGGGATTGCTTCAATTTCATTCCAAAAATCCTTGGTTAAGGAATGAATTAATGCTCCGCAAGAAGTTCATTTACTATTTCTCCATGGTATATATACTATCAACAAATCTATCATTATCTTTCGTAGGCTAAATTCTCGAATAAACAGACCATAGCCACAAACTAGCTAAGCATGCTTAAAAAACCCCCCTGAAGATTGAGTAACATTCATACTATACTAAGGCTAAAAATGATATAAGTAGATATAAGATTAGAGAATAATGAGGTTCAAATATTTTATTCTTTACTAAGACAAATAACGGTAAATCTTTGCAGGTATTGAACCTGATATTAAGGCTAGCTTGGCTACAAACAGTTCTCCACCCGAATTTTGGGGATGTTGATTACAGAGTAATTGGGCTATTTTTAGCTGCCCTGGAAGTGATCAGAAGAGGACAATGGAATTTCTATAGGTAAAAACTCAAATCCCATCATTGTCAGTTCATGACAGAGTGACTTATTAGTGAACTTTCAAGGACTAATAGTATATATTCTCAACTTTTCAGATTAGAGAATGAGCATCTAAATAATGCCGGCAAATTTAGAGCAGTTAAACAGGTACCACTCCCTTTTCATGAAGTGGATGAGGAAGAATGATAATATTTTTTTTGAGGCGACAGCAATGACTGGAATGAAAGGAATACAGTTCTGAATCCAGAGGATGGTGGTTTCAGGTCCTATTGTTTTCGATTCACACTGCACTTACAGGACGTGAATGCCACAAAGCATCAACTAAGTTCTTTTGTTCCCCTAATCAAGTATATTCCTAGGAAAATACTTCATAAATGTGCATAAATTGATTCTTCGGATTTTGTTAATGAAAATTAAACTCGCGTATCTTAACGAGAGAGTTGCCTAATTATAACATTGAAATGCTATTTTTATTCTTTTGCAAATCACAATGGTATTTGGGGACTTCAATAAATTTGGAGTTTTTCGAGCATTAACTGCCTAATCCATGTAGTCGTGTAAGCATGGCACAATCGGAATCTTCAGGTGGTTTGGCAGGCAAAATCTGAAAGTGCCAATACATATTTAAAGGATATATGATTCAGGAACTGATGCTATATTCTTGGTTCCATTATGCAATTTACACTCCTACAAAACCTGGCCTAAAGTCTGGTTACAATAATTATACTCCTGGGCTTATCTTATTGTCTCAGAGATTGTATCACTAAGATGCCAAATGCAATCAATCCAAGAAAGGTTAGTCACATAATTGTCACTTTGACAGTACAAATCTTTACTAGCAGTATCCCATTGCAGCAGATGTGTGCATCGGAATTGATTTATTATTCGCGGTTCTACTTGATTAAACACCAATAGGTGCTGACTGTGTGGCTTGAATCAAATTTATTTTTCAAGGACTTTAAAGCTAAGCTAAGAATATCTAAAACCACAGAATTACATGTTTCCTAGACCGCATGAATATAAAGCCCCAACAAATATATACCTCCTTTGTTTCATAATATGATGCATTTAACCTATTCAGTTAAATTTATGCTTGACTTGGTACACTTTTTGGTTGGGTTTTGGGTTTTGGTTCCTATGGTCAAAATGTTACTCAGACTCGAAAACCCATGTCTAACATGAGTACATGTCTAAGTGTCTGATAAAGCTTTTTTGTAAAAAAATTCCATAATTTTGGCCTAGAATGAAGTGTCTAAGTTTCCTATGCATGTCTGAGTGTCAAGGATCGACACAGGTAGTTAAGGTAAAATAAAGGATCCAAATAACATAGGGTCGAACAACCAAAAAATTGTGTTTGGTAAACGGCAATAGTACCTTCTAAATTGTAAAGGCTGACTAAAAATTACTCCTTAATTGTTTATCGTCGCCTTTTGGTAGTTTTGACTAAAATTTACCTTTTACGCACACAAATCAATAACCGCCAACAGGTAATTTTACTAAACACCTTTGTACATGACTACATGTATGCAACTAATGTAAAGAATATGTATAGTACCTATAAACTAATGAAGCAAGACATATGTAATTATGTACCAACTAGGGATATTGTCCCGCACCGCCTCAGAGCGGGTATGGATCTAACTTTTGCGGGTAAGTGTAGGCGGGTATGGTTACAAAAGTCATACCCACAGTGGGTAGCGGGTAGGTGGTAGATTTGATGCCATACCTGCCTATTACCCATCTACCCGCCCATTTACCCACCTACCTGCCTAGTTACCTATTCGCCCAATTTCCCGCCAACTTATTACTACTTTTATTTTTTTATCACAAATTGATTACTACCTTGTATAATATGCTATTAAAATATTTAGATATGGCAAAATGACATATTTATAGAAAATTTATGAAACAAATGTTGTTAGGTTGGCGAGTAAAAAGTGGGTGGTGGATATCCACATGGGTGGGGTGGATCTAGGTTTCTACCTGCTTAGACGGGGTGTAGGTGTTAAAATTTTACCCGCCGCGGGTAGGTGGCCGGTATAAAAATTTTTGGCGGGTGCGGGTATGGGGGAGGGGGTACCCGTACCTGCACCGCCCAATTGCCATCCCTAGTACCAACAACCGATTGACAAATAATAAAATATTATACAAAATTGCATTGGTTATTATAAATCTAATATCATATTACTAATCAATAAAGCCGGTCTCGCAGCCAGGCTACGAAGCAGCGACACTTGGCATTCCAGTTTTTCGCGAAGTGTCGCGCCACGTAGGAGATAAATAGGTGGTATTGTGATACATATGATGCTAAGTAAGCGATTTTTGGATAGATTTATTAAGATAAAATTGTTGTATAGAGTTTTATTATCAATAAAATTCTAATATTTCAAATATACAAAATTAATCATAACTTTTAATAAATATTTTATAACTCAATTCTATTTCCATCATCAAATTCGTTTTAAAAAGTTCTTTAAAATAAGATCCATTTATAATATATATAATCACAAACTTTTATACGTAGCTGGCCAAACCGTGTCACCAGCTATTACAAAAGTTACTTCGTTAGTGCTACATGAGTTACTTGGTTAGTGTTATAGTAGTTACTCAATCAGTGTTATAGATAGGGGTTACTTAGTCAGTGTTAGAGGTTACTCAGTTAGTATTACAGGGGTTACTCGGTCAGTTTTATAGGATTACTTTGTCCGGCTAGATGGTGTGGCTAGCCGCATACAAAATGCATACTTAATTTATTTTAAAAAATATTAGAGAATCAATAAAAATATGTTTATCACTAAAATTAATTTTAGTTTGGTAAAAATACTTTCAGTTCTGTAAAAATAATTTAAGTTCAATAAAAATAATTTCAAGTCAATAATAATATAGATATCTATTTACAAACAAAACTACAAAAAGTATTATTATATAAAATTAAGCCATATAATATCGTATGTCTAAATATCCTACATTATCAAAACGAATTATATAACCGTATTTAACATTCAAGTATAAATGTTATCTTAAAATTTTATCAACCATTTGGGCATCGCCTGGGCACAAAACTAGTATATATATAAAGGGGAGTTTTTTCCAAGTATTTAGAGCACCACCTAAGATTTTATTTTTAAAAAAAAAATTATTAGAGCGCCACTTAGGATTAATATTTTTAAAATGCTACAATCCGATTATGCCACGTAAAATTAATTTTTTTTTTAAGCGCTACAGGATTATAATAAAAAAAAAAGCGCCACGTAGGATTAATAATTTTAAAACGCTACAATAGAATTATGTCATGTAAGATTAATTTTAGAGCGTCACATAGGAAAACGTCATATTTTAGCCAATGAAAAAAAAGAATTGCAATTTATTTTAGATAAAAAAAAATTATATTAATTAAAAAAATAAAATCAGCGCGTTTTTTTTGTGGCTGATCATATTGTGTGACTGGATGAGACACACCCAAACACTAACTGAATAACCTCTGATCGATTCAGTAACCCTTGATCAACCAAGTAATCCCGACCACACAGTGTGACCAGCCACATACAAAACTTTGTAACAAAAAATATTATCTATTTATATTACGATTTTATCTAAATATAAGAAGAAGAAAAAAGTTAATAATTCATTTTATAATAAAAAAATTCAAGTAGTAAACAAGCGAATATCATAAAGTTTATTAGATAAATATATTTTTAATAGAATATTTTATTTGAAAAATACAAATAAATCGTGCATCGGACGAGGTTCATCTAATTTTTATATACTCTGTAGTTAAAAAATAAAGGGTGGCTTTACATGCGTGATGTTCATGAAAAAAAGAAGAAAAAAAATACTGAAAAAGAGTGATTAGAAAATGTTACCCATTAATCAAAGGACATATTCTTGGCAATGTCTTTTGGTTGCAGAAGAATCCTAAATTGACGATGATGTAACCTGAAATAAGAACAGTCATATCAACGATTTGCATAATTTAGAATAATAAGATTAAAGTTTGAGCTTGGAAAGAATAATTGCAATACCATTGATGGCTTAAATTTGATGTTGAAGCTCTGATGGTTCATTCGCTGTCTCCTTGAAAATTTGATAAGTCCCTCCACACGAACCACGGCTTTTCCTTCCATCATTGAATTACGGGGGAAGGTTGGGTAACTTAACTTTAGGTTTAACTTTACAAAAAAAAAAAAAAAATAAATAAAAAAAAAAAAATAAATAAATAAAAAATACACCTCTCTTATTTATTACTCCCTCCAAAGAGGGTTACGTCTAAGGCGTGTTCGGCAAAATGTAGCTGTATCACCTGTATGTATAGCGGTTGGCGGTCAACTAGCGGTTAGCTGTAAAAATAATTATTATGGATTTTTCACCATATATCCCTAAGTAATTTTTTTTATTCACCATATACCCATGAAAATATTCAAATTCACCATATACCCACGAATTTCACAAAAATGTCACCAAATGACCTTAATGATAGACGGCGGTTAACTCCGTTAGTCATTAAGATTAATTATGTCACATGGCAGCACCATATTGGTTGCTTTTTAGATAAGTTATTTATTTAAAAAAAAAAAAAAAAAAAACCTTCTAATATTTTTTTTAAAAAAAAAAATTAAAAAAATTAAACCAACCATCCCTCATTCCACCAGCCTAATCTCCCCAGCCCCCACCCCCTACGCAAATATCGGCGCCTATCCCCACTACAAGAATTCGGTTAAATTGCGACCGTTTTTCTACGACCGTCAAGAAAACGGTCGCAATTTAAAAAAATCTGCGACCGATTTTTATGCGGTCGCAATATTACGACCGTTTTTAAAGCGGTCGCAAATTTGCGACCGTTTTTGGCCTTTTAAACGATCGCAAGGATTTTTGAACAATTTAAAAAAATTCTAAATTAAAATATTCCCTTTAATGGATTGGTCGTAAAAGGGTTGTTTTTTTTAAAAAAAATAGGGTATAAAAGATACCCAATTCACCCTACCCTAATCTTTTCTCACTCACACCCCGCAGCTTTCTCTTTCTTTTTTCTCTCTTCTCTTTCCTTTCTCATGCCCCTCCATCTCCTTCTCTTTCCTTGCTCCTTCTTCTCTTTCCTTTGTCTTTCTTCGCATCTTCTCCTCCATTTTCGCTCTCTTTTTCCTCTTCATTCTATCTTTTTCTTAGGATTTTCGTCAACAAACGAATTGTGGTGTTGGATTTTTGCCAACAAACGAAGTTTGGTATTCATGGTCAAATTTGAGCGTAAAAATTCCAGATGTGAAGTTTTTATGGTCGAATTTGACCATATAAACCTAAAGAGGAAGAAGTATTGGGAAAGGTATGTTGTTTTGTCTAAAAATTTTGTTTTTTTTTTGTTTTTTTTTTATTTTTGTGGTTTTATTATGTTCTCTAATCGAATTTCCATGTTTGTTTGATATTTTTTTCGATTTTTGTTTGA